AAAAAAAAAAAAAAAAAATGTTCATATATGTTTTTAAATAAAGTCAGGGCCATAGCTTTCACTGTGACTCTCCTAGTCCTAAGTTTTGACTCACATTGAAGATCCAAGAGCCAGGTAACTGTGGACAAAAATCTCCTCTAAAAACAACCAGATCCCAGAAGGAATATTATGACTTCAAACACAGAGGAGCTAAGCAGCCTTAGACCTGGCTCTGATGTTTACTCCTCCAGCTGTAACCGAGTTACTGCCTCAATCATCAAGAACAAAGTGAGGAAAGGTAGTATCTTCAATGGAAATGGGGAGTAGGTTGAATCCTTTGCTAGGAAAAGGGCCAGAAGAATGGAAGAAGGAAGGAATGAAAAACTAGCACAGGTATTCAGTAAGACTGATAGATAAGAGGAAAAGTTCTCAAGCCAAGTACTGTGCTTAACCCTCTTCATATTCCCTGAACCTTGCACAGTTCCTGAAACATAACAGGTGCTGAAGAAATGTTTGTTAATGAAGGCAAGTAAGAAGAAAAAAGGGACAAAAAAAGGAAAGCAGAGGAAAAAAGGAGTTTCTGTAATAGTAACGTGAGAAAGACCTGAGACCTAAGATAAGAAAGGTCCTAAGTGGACAAGAAATACCATTCATGTAAGTTTGACATAAGTCAGTCAAAGATTACCTGTGCATGTCATTTAAAAAGAGCCTGGAAAAATAAATTCTATGAATATAACTATCGAGTTGAAGCTGGAACAATGGGCAATAAACCCTGTTGTTCTTCCCATCATTCTGGCTACAGATTCAAACATTTTGTCTAACTAGTGTGCAATTCCTCACACATGAAAGTCTATGATATTCTGTTTTATACTAATTTTAAAATCAAAGTAAAAATATTCATGTATTGAAACTATGTAGAAATATTCCCCAAATATACATACAAAGGGAACAAAGAAAATATTGCAAAATGATAACAGCAGGTTTACTGAGTGAATAGATTATGTGTTTTCTTGCATTTTTCAAATATTTGTAATTCATTTCTATTAATTTTATAATAGAAAAGGGAAAATTTTAGTTTGAAATATAGGAAAAATTCATAGAGCATATTGATTAACTTGGCAAGACATGTTTTTATACCCACTTACGCTAGTCAAGCTAATATTTATAAGGGCAAATAAATGAAAATGAGTTTTACTAGTCTAGCAGAACAAATTATCTCATTTGGGTGAGTGAGTATACACATGGCTTAAAGAAGAATATCATATGTAATTAAGCAATTTCTAAAATGCTACTTTAGAAGTCCTGTCTATCTTTATTCTCTAAATTTAAATGTAAAATGGAATACATACATATTGAGATGTACAGACATGTAAAACTATGAAAACATGAACTAATGCTTCAAAAAGTAGTAGTTACTAATTTTTAAGGAATGATGGCTTAAGAAAAAATAAAGTAGCAGTCAGTTACATGGGATTTTACTTCCAAATGGCAAGTAAAAAGGAAAATCCACCATTATGGCATATTCTATTCAGAAGTCTTAAATGACATTCTAATTTATTTGTGCTGCATAATCCTTCTGGTGGCCTATGTAAAAAAAAATAATTTTCACTACAAAAAGCCTGAAGTAGGTTTCACATCCAGATGACATCGTATCTTAACTTGCAGTAATATCTAGAAGAGACATGGGGCAAGTGATTCTTAGGACATTTAGTTGAGACATTTAAGAATGATATGGCTAGGAATATTCAAAATATGAAGCTTTCTTTAAAAAAAAGATTTTATTTTCTTAATAAACTCTAACATTTTCGTCATTTAAAAATGCTATTTTCATCCACAAGCTATCAAATTTCTATGTGGTATTTTGAAGATCAATAAACTGCTGTATACAATATATTTGAAAGTACATTTTCTAAATACTCAGTATGACATAAATTGTAATTTTACGGCATGTTAGATCTAAGGCTATATATTCTTATCTCTCAAAACATTTTAAGATTTTTTTTTTTATTGTTGAAGAACACAGGCTTTTAGCTTGAAATGCTCTGAAGTTATTTTTAAGGCCTATTTTTCTATATTTAGGTATGGTTTCATCCTTTCCTCAATATAGTTCTTATAAATTCCAAATTTAAACTTCTTCCATCATTTCCATATACTAGTTTCAAATATTTTTTTCATTACCTAAGAAGCTGGACATTTCTTCTGCTTGATGGAGTTTCTGCTCCATGAATTATTTCATGAAAGTTTGTCTTGACCAGTGTCATTATACATTCCCTGGGTAACCTCAAATCATTTCTAAGATACAGCTATCATACAAAAGTAGAAGCAGAAAAGATGAAGGTCAAGATATTTCTTTAATTAGCAACTGCAAATCACTGTGTTTACTGGCCATAAGTAAAAATTGTATTTTCTCTTAATTTGAATCTTCAACATTGATTTTGATATAAAAATGAAAATCTGTCTTCTGGAACTTTAAAGACTTTCTCTACTAAAGCCCAAATAAACACACATATGTAATTAAATGATATTCATGAACCTTTTAGATCTGTGCTACTATCACAGTTACTTATTTAACGTGCTGTGTTCATTATGTTTCAGTCTTATTTTATAAATAATATTTTTACAAATATTATGTTCTGAAATTCTTGACTCTATTAACTGGCAACATTTTAGGAAAGAGTTTATCTTATTTTCTTTTAGGTAATTTACTAATCTGGACTTTCTAAAACTAAAAAGCATTTAAATATTATTTTCATTTAACTACATCACCCCAAAAGCGATAAAGAAGCAGTGTAGAATAATTATTGCTTAAAGTGTAGATATTACTTTTAAAAATGTACTGAAGGAATGCTTAACGGCAAGTTTAACATACATTAAGAATATTCTCTATAATATTAAACTGGATTTTTAACGAAAAAAAGATCAGTGATGTCATCAAGTAGTAAACCAATCTAAAGCATCTTGACCACTTTTGTGTAAAATTGAAATTGTAGGAGATCCTGGGTCCTAGTTAGTTAAATTTTAACAAATAATTTTGAATGTACTATAGACAAATTGAATTTAAAAGTCTAGCAATTAAATATTACAATAAAATTACTAAAGGAATTAAAAATAAGTCATATTAGTCTGCATTACAGCAGTGAATTTTCTGTAACATAGCTATTGAACCATATTAGTAGGTAGTATGAACTGGCAGAGATGAAAGAAAACTCAAACATGTACCATGATCCTGTTTCATCACCCTCTCAGTAAGTAACCCAGAATCACAGAAAAAAAAATTAGTGATTAAAAAAAAGTCTTGAATCCAATGCATTAGTATCAAAGGAAAAAAGCTTACAATACATGAATCTAAATGATGAGAATCAAACTATCAATTAGTTTTCTCTTGTCATCAATCAAAGAGAAAAAAACTAAGTCTAAAATCCTCTAAAAAGATGTAAACTATATGAGGACACAACGTGAAAGGGAACACAGCTCTTAGTGACCATTTGAGTTATTTTGGCTTAGAGTCATTACAATGCTAGTTATTTTATGAGTAAAAATATTTTTAAGTCCTTTTAAAATATAAATTCATTTGAAATTTAAGTTATTTCAAAACAGATTATTTTCATTTTCTATTACCTAACTACCTCATAATAAGATGATTATTTTATTTTCTATCTAGTAAAAGTTGGTAATTTTAAGTTAAAATGTTCATGTATTTCAATGATAAAATTAGCACTGTTGCTTTATATGCAAACTTGAGCGGAGCAATTAAGAAAAATTGGGAATTTTTTTTTGTTTTGCATAATGGTGATAGAATTTTAAAAAATGTGAATACCAACCCATTTCCTGCTTTTGAGTTGCCTTTGTTGTCCGTGGTAAGCTGAGAAAGCACATAGTGAGGTGCTTTGGCACTGTCGGCATCAAATATATCCATATTAGATTCTTCACAATCTCGTCGTTTGACCCCCGGCCTCTGCTTTGGATTTCGTTTTCGTGATTTACGAGGTACCTCAGTGTTATCATTGTAGGAACTGGTGCTCATGTTACTGAAGTTGGAGGGGGAATCCTCCATCCACATACTGCAGCTCTGCTCAGATTCCAATCCACACCCCTCATCCTGGCAGGACATCCGACTGTTATCCAGCAAGTCCTCAGGTGGTGGTGAGATGTACAAGACTGTGTGCCTCTTCGGTGTTGATGGATGCTGCTGAACTGTGTTACTGGTTAACTGCTTTTCACTTACCCCTCTGTTACTTACCCCCAAGGCTGAGGAGCAGCTCTCCACTTGCATAGCCTTGCTGTCGGTGACTGAGGTAGAATAAATGGTAGGGCTGGAAGAGGTGGTAAAGGAGCTGCAAGCACCGCCCATGGAGGAAGAGGAGGGAGCTGAAGAAGCATCTGCAGTGTACAATTCAAGAGTAAATACACTATACATGTTTTCACCTATGCTGGCTAGCAGTCCCATTGAAAATGTGATTTGCGAACTGATTGTTTTTCCCCAAAATGAATAGTCGGAATTTGGTTACGTTTTAGAATATAAATGCTTCAAGCAATATAAGGCCTAAGAAATGCAATTTTTAAAAATGCCCAAATAGCATTATTTAACTTGTGTTACAATCAATAGATTTTAAAAATCTAATTTAATGTTTTAAGCTGTAAAGCAAAAATAAAGCTTTTATTGCCTCAGCCAGACATCCTATTGAATTTTAATCATTTAAAGTAATAAAGAAAACCCCAATATGAAATATATTCTTGTGGTCCACATTCAATGCCAATTAAATAATTCATTATAGAATTTGAAAAGTGGGACTGTGCTTAGCCACAAAATATTAAAATAAGTTTCTAACCTATGAAGCAGAGAACTACAGGTCATTTTTAATGCAGACACTCCCTGCTTCAGAGGCAAATCCTGGAATAAAAATATGAGAAAATAAATGAGAAAAGAGCTGCTGATTATTGCAGATATCAATTATAAAATGAGAAATAAATAGAAAAAATATATAATCAACTGAATTGGAGGCAAAATGGAACTGGTATTGTCACTATAATTGGTTGTAAAATCTAGAAGAAACAAGATGAAAAAGGTTTGATTTGGAACATGCTGGGTTGTAGAAGATAAGCAAGTTAATCATTGTGTCTCCAGAAGCTGGAAGTGGTAGTTCAAAACCATAAGCTCTAAAATAAACCCATCCTTTATGACAGAATAAAAAGCAAAGGAAGAACAGATTAATGGATGGATTTCTCTTATAAAGTACTTGATTACATGCTCAACAATTGGTTACAGCTGTCTATTTTCTCTCTTTTTAAAGGGCCTGGTTGATTGTTACTAGTCAGGGAATTTTCCAATGTAAGAACAATGGTAAATTTATTGGCTGAAGTCTAACAACAAAAAATAGGTAAGCATAAAAATCTCTGGAGAGCATCAGAATTAATTCCTATAAAAAGATTTTTTTATAAAACCATTTATCTACTATGCCTAGCAAAAAAAAGATTTACATAGATCTTTTCAGCACGTGTGGCAACTGGCAGAATAGCTCACTGAAAATACTACTACTGTAGCCCTTAACAGCATAACCTCAGAGGCACATTAATTGCTAAGGTTGAAAGTTTCATGACTAACATTTTAGATATCATTTTATCTTATTCTCAATATGGAAAGGTTTGTCATCATATGCACACACAAAAATAAAAATAGGTAACATGTGACAAAGATACATTTCAATCTAAAATTAATTTGTATCTACAGCCAACTATGCCACTGTTTTAAAGTATATGCTAAAATTGTGATGTGCAGTTAATGGAATTGCAACATTCATATCAATGATAAAGAGTACAATGTAAGAATGTCAATGTTTAGATAATTAAAAGCCAAGTGCCAAAGATCTGTTTTTTTAATTGAAAACATGTATTTAAAATACACCTAAATTATTTCAATGAACTATATCCACCCAGAATTCTTCATTGCTGTCAAGGCTAAAGAGCACAGTAATTAATATTAGTCATCAATAATATGATCTACATAATCTGACATGGAAAGATTTTTCCCAACTACCATAAGTGAAAGAGCCTAAAGAAATTAGATGATACCAGTTCCATTTTCCAGTATGTATCCTTGTCAAATGCAGTAGCTGAAATTAGAAAATTCAGTCACTTTAAACTGCATTCCACTTTGAAGGAAAACTTATCAATTTTGTAACATGCATTAATGCAATGTTTTCTTAGTAAATAAATACTGTAAAAGATTTGTAAAAACTACAAAATCTATATGCTAATGCCAGTGACAGTTTAGGAGCTGATTTGTAGCCACTTTGAGTTTAAATATAAATTTTTTCCTTGTCTTTTGAAAAATACTACAGAATTCATTTTAGAAAAAATAGAAAAGGTATTATATCTAACATTCCTCCATCTGTTCCAACTACTGGCAAAAACGAAACTAAATTTTTTTTTGTGTGTAAGCCTGTTCTTCATTTTCAGAGAAATACAAGTATGCAGCATACAAGTATGCAGCATGCAATATTTGCAGTGGAACACAAAATACATGAATGCTGTGAACTTATATTTCCATAAAGCAGCTTTCTCCCACTCACCCTTTTTAAATCTAAGGATCATGCACATGAGAATGCAGAGTATGAACATCTCAGGGATCCCTGTTCATGACAGATGGAAAGTACAGGTGAAAAGCAATCATGAACCCAAAAGCAACTTATATGATATTTATGAATTTAATATGCACAATGTAACCTTGTCTTATTCTCTGAGGTAAAATTTTTATCTTGCAAACCTTATCAAAGCCGTAATGATTATAAAACCCAAATGACTTAAAAGTCATACATAAGTGTGTGTTTTGGGACAAGTATGCCAAACTGTGATATCATACCCTATGTAAATTTAAATATTCTATACATTTTCCTTGGACAGCTAACACATGATTCTTGCATTTCCTGCCATTTCCTGGGTATACTTATTAAAGAAAAAGTTAATTAGCACAAAACTCTGACACTGAAAATATTAACTCTGTCAGAGTAGAAAGTAAGTATCTTTTAATTGAAAAATAATATTACTTTTTAAAGTATACCTCAGTTTGGCCCCCAAATTGCAAAGATTCTACTCATTTTAAGACAAAGGAGATAATTTTTGTAAAACTATAAAACTCTTTTTTTTTTTTTTTAAGCTCTGTTGCTCAAGCTACAGTGCAGTGGCACGATCACGACTCACTGCAGCCTCAACCTCTTGGGCTCAAGAAATCCTCCTGCCTCAGCTTCCCGAGTAGCAGAGACTACAGGTGCACAACACCATGCCTGGCTACTTTTTAAATTATTTGTAGAGACAGGATTTTTTCATGTTGCCCAGGCTGGGTTCGAATTCTTGGGCTACAGCAATCTTCCTGTTTTGGCCTCCTAAAGTGCTGGGATTACAAGCATGAGCCACCACATCCAGCCTAAAACTCTTTACAATGGTATTGCTGATATTCTGACAATTACAATGATGTATAAAATCTTTCTTTTTTAAAAAAATTTTTTATTCTGACATGGCTCTGATGATGTATAAAATCTTTCATATCAAAATGTTACATTCTGATTAGCAAGAGATTTGAGCGCATTAATAATGCCAGGTGAGGTAGTAAAGTGGAGGGTATGAACTGTGAGCACCTCGAAAGCAGCAACAGTATCTTTCTCATCTCAGATCCTCCCAACACCTATCACAGTGCCCAGCATGTAATGAAGTTCAAATTTATTAAATTGAGTTATGGGGAGCCAAAAATTTGATATGTATTTTGAGTTAAAGTTAAGCTTACAAATAAATGTAGGTTGAAGAATAAAAGAGTACTCAGAATATACGTTACTATGATAGCATTATTTAATACAAGGGAAATACTAAGAGTTTAGAAGTAACTATTTGCTATCTCTACAGAGAGTACTGTAGTAATTTTATTTCCTTAAACTGTAAATCAGCCAAATTACCTACTTATACATCCATAAATTTACCATGAAAAAAATCTTTAATATCCTATTAAAATATAAATACCTAAAATAATGATATCAGAAGATTTTAAACGTCTAACACTAATTTGTCATTTCCAAGCATTCCCAGAAAATGCTAACAAATCTTCCTGCGACTCAATATATCTATAAAGATTTTTCAGTCACTGTATCACTAAATAAAATACCAAAAAAACAGCTTGACATCTGCAGAACTAAAGTGTTAAATGCAATCCTGCCCCATCTATATATTCTTTTTTTTTGAGAGGGAGTCTTGCTCTGTCACCCAGGCTGGAGTGCAGTGGCGTGATCTCAGCTCACTGCAACCTCTGCCTCCCAGGTTTCAAGTGATTCTTCCGCCTCAGACTCCCAAAGAGCTGAGATTACAGGCGTGAGCCATGGCACATGGTCATGTGAATATATTTTATTCATTTTCTTTTCTTTTATGAAGGAAATATCGTTGAACCTATAGTCTAATTTATATAGAATAATTTTATTTGTTCTACAGCATTTTCTGTGACCACAGAAAGCACAACAAAGGAAATACAGATCATCCTATAATTTACTAATAGAAATTTATGTCAGATTATTTTAAATAGAATAATTTTAAAATTTAAAAGGGAAGGTAAGTGTCATATGTAAAGTACCCTGTATTTAAGTCTATATGCCACTATTAGCAGTAGCCAATTATCAGACCAAATGTCAGTAATGATGGTGAACTTGAATTGTGTATATTGATGGAAACACTAAGGTTCACTACAAACGCTCAAAAGTAGTTGATATTTAAAGATTGGCAGATATTAAATAATATCTACGTGGAATATGGATATCCCAGAATCTGCAATTCAATAAAAAATGAAAAACGATTTTATTTTCAAATTTATTTTTTCTTTCTTTCTTTTTTTTTTTT